AGATAATCATATTTATCAATGAATAGCCAAAAATATTTTGCCAAAATGCTAATTCACATTCAAAATGGCAGTTGTAAAAACCGAGAAATTTTAGATGATTAAAATTAAGGACCTCCTGCTGATTTTGGCCAAAATTAAGGACCAAAAATCGATTCAAAAAAAAAAAAAAAAAAAAAAAAAAAAAAAAAACCTAAAGACAGTATGAACTCTGTTTTATCTCATGCCTGCAAAAATTCCAGCCTTAAACCTTTTCTCATGAGTAAGGGGTTTTTTAATTTGTGAACATTTAGTTTAGTATTCAAGCAGGAAGGAAAAGTGATAGGGTCTGCTATTTCTTACTCCATCATTTAAGTTCATTTTAAATTTCCATGGACAAAAATTTTTTCAGTCTTATTTAAGTTAATAAATGCATGACACATATCTGTTATTTATTGTCAATAGCAAAAGTTTAAAGGTGATTATTATAATGAAATCAATAAAAGTAAATATCACCTTAAAAAAATTATTTTTGTTTGGTAAAAATACTAGAATGGAAAAAATATCTCTAGTTATCGGAAGGCCACAGAAATTAAGATGTTTCAAACTATGAATATAATCTCTTCAGATTGGTTTGAAGTAAAATCAGCAATACTAAAATTACTTCATCACAGAAGGTGATGAAACTGTTGATAGAGAAGGTGAGGAATCTCCTGGGATAAGACATTACTTTTAAATATTATGTAAATTGTGATGATAATCTAATAACATGAACACGAAGCACAACTGAATTGATTCCCATATGAGCATGTAAATATTGGAGAAGAAATAAAAAGCAATGACTAAATCAGTTTCCTTTTGAAAATACAATACACTCAGAAATTTCATTGTTTATCACAGTAGTAATGAGAAAACTTTTCAATAATTATTTGCTTTAAGCTGGAAGATTAAATAACATATCTGAGGACTTCTTTAACAAATTAAAAATCTTCATATATGTTGAAATTTTTATGAACAAATTATTATTCAAAGTGGGGTTATTGAAATAAAGGTATGATCATTTTCATTTTACATTAAATATTATACTTTTAAATTCTATTATTTTAAAAAGGAAGTAATTTTTAAAATAAAATATAGATACTGTTAGACATTTGGGCATGGAACTGATAAGATCTGGGGTGGTAATTCTGAGTATTGCAGTCCACATGGCTTCAATTCTATGCCACAATTCATCTGTCATTATGGATAGCAGGTGTTTTGTAACCAATAAACATTTTCAATTGATCTGAAGCAAATACATATCTAAATCATATGGTGAGCAAAGCTGAGGTCAGATACCCTGTATATTAGGAAAATGTAGGACAGCATGCATTCTTGCATTGTCTTGTTAAAAATTTGGTGACAGAACGCTGAAGCTATACCACAATCAAAGGCATTAAAACGCAGATTAATGGTGGCTGGTTCGAGTACTGGATCTGTGAACTGATAGGTGTACAGGATGTATCCTTCAACTGTATTTCATACCATCAGTAAAGGTACTGGGTTGGTATGATGATTAAAGCAAGCTTCTGATTCTCCGCTCAGTGCTTCTACCGTGTATCCTTTCCAAGGTAATTAATTCACAAGATACACTCTTTTAAACTACATGCTACTTTTATTTATATGTACAAAATATATCATCACTCATATACACACTTATATGTACAGCTACTTGCATTCCAGTCATTTTCTTATTACTGCGCGCGCTTTGATGCTTGTGTTGTGCCAGCTTTAAGTTCAATTATGATATGCCACATCAACTCCTCCTTTATCATAACTGCAGTCTATCTGGTGGACATCGAATTCTATTGGACCGACACAGACGCAAAGGTCGTGGCCCAGTAGGTTTCTTTGATAACCTGATTGTATCAGTAGCAGGTCCGGTGGATGGAACATCTGATACAACCTTGGGCTTGGAGGATGACACAGACTCATCTGCCTGGTGGCTATTATCTTTGGATAGTTCTGGAACTCCACTCTTTGGAAATCACGACAGCTAGAGGTGGACGTATGAACCCCTCATCTGTTACGGTTACTCCATCACACATATGATCGGTATGTCGTCGCCATAGCTGACCATCTACATATATGGTGTAAGGAAGCAGCCCACCCTTGGATTGCACTGTTCCAAATCTCGATCGTCTAGCACCTTGGGGATAATTTCTTACTGCCACTCTAAATCCTTGGTCTGCAAACTCGTAGGTTCCTTTTCAAATTCTGTCTTCCTCCCTCCTTTTGAGATCTGGTCCCAATAAATCTATTTCTTGTTTGAATTTCCCTCTTCAGCATTAGCATTGCAGGGCTCTGCAGAGTAGTTAAGTTCGGAGCTTTCCTACATTGCATCAAAAATGTACCGAGTTTTGTCTCAAAGTTCTTAAAGACTGTTTTACTGTAAACACATACAATTCAGCCTGCCCATTACTAGAAGATTTAAATGGTGCTGTAGTTTTGTATTTGATTCAGCTACTCTTCAGAAGTATTTTAAACTCATGTGAAGTGAATTGTGGCCCGTTATCACTCACTAACAATACTGGTAATACGAATCGTGCAAAAAAGTCCTGTAAACATTCTATTGTTTTGAAAGTCGAGCTTAATTTTATTGAATAGGCTTCTAGCCATTTTGAGTGAGCATCAACAATTATCAAAAACATATGCTCAAAAATAGGTCCTGCATAATCAATGTGAATACGTTCCATTGGAGCGCTTGGGTACTCCCAATCATGAACTTTTACCTTAAGAGGATCTATTTCATGTTTTGCACATTCAGAACAGTTTTTGGAAGTATTTTCAATATCTTTATCTATACCATTCCAAAATACATAAGATCTAGCAATTGCCTTCATCTTTAGTCCCTAAGTGTCCGTGGTGCAACTCTTTCAAAACATTATCATGATATAGTTTCGAATACAAACACGTTGACCATATATTATACAGCCATCTTGGAGACTGTACTCCATCTCTCTTCCTTTCAATTCACCGCCACTTTGAAGTATTCATAGGAGAGGACTGAGTTCTACATCAATTTCAGTTTCTTTAGCCGAATCTCTGGCAGTGATTGGAAGAGTTTCAATCTGCTGTAATTGAAAAATAGTTACATCATCCTGAACAGACAGTTGCTCTGACTTCTTCGTCAATCGTGATAGAAAGTTAGCATTACCATGCTCGTTTGTTTTATGGTAAATAATATCAAATTAGAATGACTGTAAAGCCAAAGCATAATGTAGGAGTCTTGTTGCTGCCAAAACTGGCATGTCTTTCTTCGAGCCGAAAATTGCAACAAGAGGTTCATGATCTGTAATTAATGTAAATTTCCTGCCTTTTAAGTACAGAATTTTTTTTAATTCCTCAAATGATTGACAAAGCTTCTTTTTCGGTTTGAGAATACTTCTTCTCTGTTTCTGTCAGTGTTCTAGAAACATATGCAATTGGCCTTTCTGTTCCATCAGGAAGTTTGTGAGAAAATACTACACCTAACCCCACTGGTGATGCATCAGTTGCCAACGTTAAGGGTAATTTTGGATGTTTAGAAAAGCCTCCTGACAATCCTTCGTCCAAACCCATTTTGAGTTTTTCTTAGTTAATTGATGTCGCAAATTTAGGGCAAAATTTTCAATAAAAATTAACCAATCCCAAATAGCTTTGAATTTCCTGGACATTTCTGGGTCTTGAGGCTTTTGCAATCGCTGATATTTTTCCCTCAGTTTTATGTAAACCATTGACATCAATTTTATGGCCTAAAAATTGTATTTCATCCTGAAAAATGTAATTTTCTCTAAATTTAATTTCATTCCGTGAGTTTTACATTTCTCAAAGAAATTTTTTAAAGTCTTTAAATGTGCCTCATCATCCGCCCGCTATCCACACATCATCCATGAAGACCTTACACCCTTCCATTCCGTGGAATAGTCTGTCTACATAACATTACCAGATTGCCGGAGCTGCATTTAGCCCGAACATTTAATCTCTTACACTTATATAATCCCATCCTCGTCGCCAGCTATAGTGTATCCTTTTGTGGGTAATTAATTCACAAGATACACTCTTTTAAACTACACGTTACTTTTATTTATATGTACAAAATAGATCATTACTCGCATACACACTTATATGTACGGCTACTCGCATTCCAGTCATTTCCTTATCACTGTGTGTGCTTCGATGCTTGGGGCTGTGCCAGCTTTACGTTCTCGATATATCACATCTTCCACTAGTGAATACAGCTGCCATGATGTTCCAAGCAAAAATGAGGTTCATTAGAAAAGACATCACATCATTTGTGCCGATTCCTAATGTTATAATGCCTATGTAAGTTGAAGCAATGGTCACTTTGCTCACAAATCATGGCATTGTATGTATTGAGAGTAGCCATTAAATTCCTACATGTCACTTTTTGTCTTTCCTGGACTCAACGGCAGCAAAATCTAATAACAGTCTGTGTATTTCAATCAGTATGTGTAGCAGCTTCATGGTATAATGAATAATCTGCAGTCTCAGTAGGCTATGTGATCAAATTCTAGGATATGCTGGTATGAGTTCATTCTAGCATGAGGCATAACCTCTAACTAAATGTGATTTTTGAATGAAAAATTGGCATTTCAGTCTGCTTTTTTTTTTTTTTTTTTTTTTAAGTAATGCTGTGTACTATCAGTTCTACCTTTAATGTGCACATGCCATGAAGTGCTAATAATCTCCATATTCCAGACTGTTCTAGCTTTCATGTAAATTTAAGGTTTGTTATGTATATGGTGTAGGAATTTCAATAGCCAGCAGTGTATTTGAAACAAACTGAAAGAAGGACAACAAATTGCTATAATAGCAGTAGTACAATAACATTAAAATTCTACAGCTATTATAATTTTTTAATGTGAAGTTATTTTTTCTGAACAAGTAATTTTATGCATAATACAATTAATTAGTCAGAAAAAGTTATTCTGTGTGCTTGTGATTAGTTCCAAGAGTGGCATATAAAATTTTAAAAAAGGACATTTTACACAAAAAAATTTTTAATTCTTAAAATGCTCTATGTACAGACTTTAATTTAAATAATGAAATTTACAAATTACATTAATCATCTTCATCACTCTCCTCAATTGTAACAGTTTTCTTTTTACCATCAGTCACTGCTTTCTTGCGATCAAAATAATCCTAGAAACAAACAAAATAAAAATCAGCCTAAACTGAATTTTCAGCAAACAGGAAATAACTTTTTAATTTGCATAAGTATATTTATTTGAAAACAAGATTTTATTGGAATTCAGCATCTTTCAACTCATACTGGAGATGCCAACATGGGAAAGTGTGGTGTTGCTGGCCGTGATCGTATAAAAGTAATTATACTAAGAGTATCAAATGCGAATTAATTTCGCGTAAATAGTAAACTAAAAATTTAGTGGTTAGTACACTGCATGAATTTTAATAATAAGAATAAAATGACTTACCCAATAAGGCATGCATGAGTCAGTAGCTCTCTTTTAAATATACATTTATTTAATAACAAAAACACACATTTCTTGATTAGCCTAAATAAATCACAAAAACACACTTTTCTTGATTAGCCTATATTCGATATGTTATAAAAAAAAAAAAAAAAAAAAAAACACATTCATGAATGCCCTTCGGCATGTCCTACTGGACTGTCACAGCGTTCATTTTTTTCTGTATACTGTAATTCCTAATCCTCTAGCATCGCTGGCCCATTACTTATCAGCATCTTGCAAGACGCTTAATTAATATGCAGTACAATTACTCGTAATAGAAGATAGAGAATTGCTTGTGGATAGGCTTGAATTTGGCGCACATGGTCGTCTTCTTCAAAACATCCAATTGTCAGGATTATACACGTTGAGTCACAGCACAGGAACAATTTTTACCTCGCAGCCTAATCAGTAAAGTTTACCTGAGTTCTTATATTCTTCGTACAAGAACATATTTTCTCCTCCATCTTATGAGAAGGAACATCAGCTCGAGTACAGGTTGTTTTACAGTAGACGATGGCGAGAGCTGTGTGTGTGGCAAAAACCAACACACGCGTTAACACGACGTCAGGCAGCAAGCGGGGAACAAGGGAAAGAGAAAGAGAGACAAACCAGTCCTTCCAGTTTTTATACCTTTCAACGCACGTGGTAGGGCGCGATAACGATTTAAGAATCGATAAAGCCACAGTGTTCACTGTGAGAATTGTGTTCTCACATTCCCTCCGGCCGAAGAAAAAAAAATTTTTTTTGATCACTGGACAAATGAAATCCCTCTCTGCTGGATACACTTGAACTTTCATCAGCATCACATACACATTTCACACCAATCTTTATCACTTGCAAAGGCACTGCACTTTATCATTTCGTTGGCACTATATAAACATTTCACATTACAGAAAGTAAGTATGCAAACAAAGCATGACGAAGCTTTTAAATGATTTATTGATGAATGTCTGCTAATCGCAGCAGAATGCCACTCCAACCTTCATTCAATTATTTTGTTATTTTAAGACAGCAATATTTTTAAAGTTTACAATATATTGTTGGTGTCTCTGGGGGAGGGAGCATTACACCTTGTGCTTTATTCAGAAAATAATTTTCTATTCTCAATTTCACAAAATTAATTTCCAAAATTTAAATTTGAGTTTAGAAATTATCATCAGTGAAATTTTTACTAATATATTAGTTAATATATATATGTTGCTAGACTTTTACTACGCACAAAATAAATATGCCTAGGATGGCTGAGTGTTAAGATCGCTGAACACTGGTAAATTCAACCCAAATTCTCCCAGCGAACATGCATGGGTTGCATGCATATTGTGAATAGGAGCCAATTTCCTTTGCAAAATCCTCCATGAAGACATTCCTCCCCTTAGGCATTGCATAATATTCGATTTTTTAGGAATGTCACATACTAATGCACTTAATGTACTTTTCATCCAAAAAAAGGTTAATGATTTCTCAGGTACAATGCACCTCAATTTAGAAATGATTACTAACTGTTCAACATCATTTATATCAGAGGCTTCCAACTGGCAATCTGTAGACTCTTTCCGGTCCTAAAGCAATTTTACATAGCCGTTAAATTTATTTCAAATATATTTTTGTTGCAAATACCTTCCTTTTATGAACTAAGTTTATTCAAACAGCAGTTTTCAAAGAAATATAATAAATAGGTTGGTGCTTTGTCTTTGGCATTGTGCCATGTGGTTGGGGCAAAATGGGAGAACTCTTCATCTGCATAACAAGTAAATTTAGTTCAGCATTCCATAGTTGGTGACTCTTCAATATATGCCATTTCCAGTTTTCTTCTCTGGGGTTGGTACTTATGATAAATTTCTCTCTTAGTCAGCCAGACGCAGAGCTATACAGTTTTTATTGCTGTATAGTTGGAAAAAAGCTAAAGTACAGCTTATGAAAGCTGCTTATTTGTGCTTGTTTTTACATCTATATTACATCAATACCTATTGTGTAGAACTGTGCATATGAAGCCACATAAAGATGCCTCCATTTATTTATGGGACACTGAAAGAAGGCAAAACATACAATTACCTTTCCCTAGAAAAAATAACTTAAAGGCTTTGGCTTGCCATGAAGAAGAAATTTCATCTGCAACCACAATCATGTTGTACGCATTTCACTAAGAATTTTTAACATGTACGTTAACACTATATAAAATATTAAAATAAAAACCAAAGAGATCATTAAAAATATTGAAATTAATGCATGTTACAATAAATAAGTAATAAAGAGTAACCTTGCAATCTCAATGCAAGCCTCCTGATACATTTTTTTTTTTTTTTTTTAAATTCAATGATGCCATCATAAAAGTCTTTGCAGTTATGCAATTCATAAGGAAACCCTTTTCAACAGACATAATACAGTTAAAAAGTTTATGGAAATGCTTCATCTGCTAAGTCAGTTTCTTTAAGAAACTTCATAATTTCTGTTACTGATCTGTCTGAAAAATCTGGTAGCCTGTACATTGCTACCCATTTTCTAAATTAGGAAAATTAAACAGATTATAATAGCTTGATTTAAGTGATGAAAGTAAGTTATCTGGAAATAAGGAACACAATGTTTGGACTGAAATAGTGAAAACTTTTATAGGATAAAAATTACATTTAGTTTTTAAAAAATCTTATATTTCAAAATTATACTTTACAAATATCTAATTATTTAATTAATTATCTTAGTCAAAATTTTATGATATACATTTCTCTTTATTTGCTACTGCTTTAATGCCTATTCTTTAAAAGGCTTTTCTGTTGCTACACCATTTTCTCCTTGAAAGGGGGGATATGCAAGATAAAGAAATATGAAATCATAATTTAAATTAGCAATAGCCCTTTAATGCTTAATAATTACTTATAGTATATAATAATTTCATAATATTGCATGATTTCACAACAATTTTTCATAATTTACACTTTTATATGATTAATTCAATTGAGAAAATAAATAGAAAATGTCAATGATTATATTATCTGCCATAATACTAACCAAGTCACTATCATCATCTGCATCATCTTCTTTTGCTTGCTCTAATCTCTTAGCTTTAGCTTCATCATCCGATGCTTCATCTGATGTGTAAATTGAAGGTCGTTCTGTGCAAATGATAAACCAATTTCATTAAAAAGTTAGCATGTTATAACTGGTACAATATGTACAAAATACTGTGGTTTAAATTTTGGGATTTTTATGAAAACGATACAACACTCTTCTTCCACATGGTTTTAAAAATCAGTTTTGATATTGAATAATATGTATATATACATAATAAAGCAATCCAAACAAGAATTATATATAAAATCTTGACAATTATAAGTAATTTAGGGTATTTTAATGTGAAATCTGAAAATACCAAAAATACTCCTATGAAAGCTGGTACACACCCTAGAATGTCAATTTTTGCTAACAAAGCACAACCTAATGTATGATAACTTTCTAATCTATGCATTAATTTTACAGAAAATGCATTCAATCATTGATACATCAAAAGCATATAAAATTATGATTTTTCTTTTTGGTTTTCTATCCAATTATTATTGTCTACTTCAAAAGGAAATAAACTATCATAAGTGAAAAAAGTCTCAGCCCAGTGGAACAGCTAGCTACGCTGTTAAAAGCAAATTTGGAACAGCCTCTGCAAAATAAATTAGTCTGTTAACTATTGAAAATTCTGTTGTTTTGTCTCTGTTAATACAAATATTGATAATAATGTTGATTCAATGGATGTCTAGACTAGCTAAGTTAATAATTTGTTCTCTCAACACCCGAAGGATTACGCCAATTATGGTGCAACCAGGTATACAATTTTTCGATTTTCTAAAGCAATTGAAGGAAACTTCCCAGATGTTACCAATTAAAATGATTTTCAAGCTCATGAATATTTTGAACATTATTCTAGATTGGCAGTATTTTTCTTCATAGTGGAAAACGGCCCGCATTACTCCTATAATCAAGCCTAAGAAGCCAGCTAGAGAGCCAGGGTCTAACCGGCTGATTAGTCTGATCCAAGGTAAAAGTAAAATTATGGAAGCAGTGATCATTAAAAGAATGCAAGACCACCTGGAATGGAATAATATACTGATTCCACATCAGTTTTGTTTTAGAAAAAAACCTGTTGATCTACTTCCAACTGTAACAGGTGGTTGAACACATCTCAGAAGAAACATGTCACAAGAATTCACCTATGGCCTGTTCTTGGATATAACCAGCGTTCGACTGAGTTTGGATGGATGCATTCAAATAGAAGTTTCATAATTTGGATTTCCCAGATTACATTAACATCCCCGATCCAGAACATTACATTACACATATAATTAAATCCTACTTAGACACTTTATTGTTCATTATTCACATCAACACACACACTAGTGCTATTTCATAAGGATCTTTAGTGGGCCCTACTTTCTTCAACATTTACGTCAATGACATTCCTCGCACTCCCAACATTGCACTTGCAATGTACACTGATGATACAGTGATCCTTACTCTGTATGCATTTCCTTAGTCTAGTCATACAACACCTCTAAAATCACATCCATTAGAGGCCTGGCTACGAAACTGGAAAATTAAAGTAAATGTTGACAAAACTCTTGCATTATTATTTACCAGGAAGATCATTAATCAGCATCTACAGTTCTATGGAGAAACTCTCCCTAGGGCTAAGCAAGTCCCTTATTTTGGGATAATCTTCACAAATTATCTTACGTGATACCACACATATATTCTATTATCTAGAAGTTTCGGGTTCACAAAGCTAGACTCTACACCCTAACTGCCCATCACAGCGATTTATCTTTGATAACAAACTACTCATTTATAAGTCCATTTTGTGACTCATGTTCTGTTATGCTTGTTTAGTCTGGGCATACTCATGTAAATCTTACAGGAAAAGGTTGCAAACTGCCCAGAACAGTGTTCTGAGGCAGATTATGGATGCACCAATGTACATTCATAATAACACTCTTCATAAGAAGCTTGGCATTGTCAAGCTCAGAGAACCTTTTACTACCATCTTGCTAAAAATACAGTTACGATTATAAAAAACTGTGCAAAACATAAGATGGCTATAAGATTTATGTATTATTGCTTTGCTTTCTTTTCCTACTTATGCTGTTTTGTGTATTTTTATATGTAATTTTTATTCTACCTTTCCACTGTTGGTATGACTTTTCTCACTTGCTCACCATTGCTCATTGTACCTGCTCAACAGCTTTCTGATGCTTCTTCCCATTTACCCATTTTCTAGTACAAATTTTAACACTTTTCATATTATTAGAAAGAAAAAAAAGAAAGAAATATTAGTATAAATTTACATATATTTGTGAAAAAAAGGGATTGTTGAACAGTATGATAATTTATATATATGCATTTATTATAAGCAATCTTTAGTTGAGATACTATTTCGAAGCACTGTATTTTTCGATTCAAGGTAGGGTTCAGCCAAGGCCAGCCTGGTGTCTTAAACATCATTCCATAATGAAAGGAGAAAAGTCTATATAGAGGGTTTGTACATATTTCAATACACTGAAATGAAGAACTTTTAAGGAACATCAATGAAAAAAAACGACCTATCAGCAAATGGGAATTAAATAAATTTAAGCAATTATCTCTGCAAACAATTTCACTTTTGTAATACTGTTCTAAGAATAAAACAAAAGTATACTTAAAAATGCATTATTATTAAACATAAAATATTATTTTAACATAACTGTAAAATAAATTGAGAATTAAATTCTCTCTCCCTAAAATATATAAAATAATTAACATTAAATTAAAAATATAATTCCTAAAATGTTTAAAAAGTCTGAAATCTGGACAATATCCAGATCACCAGCTGAAAAAATAAAGAAAATAATTTCCTCTCCTTCCCTTACAAAGTTTAGGAGTGGAGAATATTAGGCAGATGAGCTGTAAATATTCCTATATGTCACTTTCAAACACCTGCTGCAGGCCAGGGAGTGGCACTGTGGCCAATGATAATACATTGAGGAACTGATGCTGTCATGATCACACTTTGGCCCTTGAGTGGTTGGGGAAGAGGTTAGTACTTTCTACCCAATCAAAACAATAAACAAAGTCTTAATGTTGCGGTGTCTACATGTACTCTTACTAAAATTAAACTGGTGATCTAAAAACTTTAAATTTTTGGAATTGCCAAAGTCCCAATGATTCTGGATCTTAGATTTTGTACTGTATTTGACATTTATAATAGTCACACATATTTTAAAAGAGATTTACATTATCACTATTAAAAAGTTCTTTTATTTAAAAAAAAAAAGTCACTTAAAAGCGCTGCTAAACTTATGCATGAAAAAAAATTTATTTAGTTTGGATGCAAAAATTTTTTGCTTCGTATATGATATCTGTTTGGAATATGATTCAAATTCGACGAGTGATGCCTGCACTCAGTACCCTTATCTACTTTAGTATGCCTATTGGCATGTCTTTACTACATCTATTTCCCTATTAGGCTTTATTATGTCTATTGCTACTGTTCAGTAAATAACCCATACTATAATTATTTTCAAGTGAATTAAAATTTTTTTCTCATAAATTTTTCATAGATTCATTGACGATGAGTTTTAGAAAGGTTAATAAGTCAAGCCATGTAACAAATTGTTAAGATCATGAATGAGGTGAAAAAAAGGGATTGTTGAACAGTATGATAATGGCATATGTATTCGGGATCTAACTATTGTTTACTGTATGCCAAGTAATATGGATCTACAACTGTGAAAAACAGACACACTATTAAATCGGCTAACACTGCGAAGGAAGTGAAGTTGATTACCACACAAAGTTCAGAGATGTGAGAGCATGCTGAAAAATTGCTTTTGATCTGGATTGCAGGAAAATATTTATTTACAGGATCATGTGGAGTACTTCTTTTACGTACAGTATATATTTCACCCACTTCATTGGTATTTTAGTATTAAACAAGTGTTATAATAATAACAGTAAGGTTTTTTATAAGAAAGGATTAATTATTTTTTCATAGATGGTGTTATGTTTATTATAAAAAAATTATCATAAAATTTGCAAACATCTGACTAAAAAAATATGCAGATAAATTGCTCTTAAAATTGTCAAAATATTAGTAAGTCACCAAATTTAGTGCTGCACAATAAATGAGATCATATTACGAAGAAAAAAATCTTCTTTTTAATATAATTAGGCATAATAATTCAAGCAGAAATAATAACCTATGTAATCTTTATTGAATTAAATATTGTATGTAATACTGACAAAAATACATGTTGAAATTAACCTTTCCGAACCACATGTACTATCTTCCCTTTTTTAATATTACATTGTTTTATTTTATTTCTTCGCATGTTATAAACGCTCTCTTTGATTTATTAACAAACCTTCTCTCACAGACACTGACTCAAATATTTTAATCACCCCAAAATGGGCAATTTAATTACCACTCGGACAATAAGGGCCTATTTCCTAAATTAAAATGATAAAATAGCCTAATTAAATGTACAATATGCTATAGTAATAGCCACAAAATTCGTTTCTATTAGCACTTTTAATGAGGACACAAATGTTTAGATCATACATTAGAAAACGAATTTTCGATTTTTTTTTTTTTTTAGTCCAAAGGGAAGTCCTGAAGGACTATTGTTTTCGTTTTGCGCTTTTGCGTTGGTTCACTATTAATGTCTGTTTCACTTTTCAAACTGTTTCCACCAAATGTTAGAGCCTTGCATTATATTTGAAGAAATTAAATAATGAAAAATCTGTGTAAATGTATGGATATTTCTCACATTCTGATAAAACAACGGTACACATAGCCATCGAATTTTGAATGACATATGGACGAATATGGGCATGTGGAAGCCCAAATTTGAAATTTGTTTTATTATCGATTTCATATTTTGTAAAACTTTAACGGATTTTTGATTACAAACTCAAGGATTTCAAAGTGAGCAATGGCAACGTTGTACAGAAAAAACATTTTTAACTCCAGTGTGCGAGACTCTGTATCGGAAATTCTAAAGATATGCTCAATTTAAAACTATTTTGCGATATTGCTCTTGAACTTGCCGCCTTCTTGCTGCAGGCCCTTCAATTCTGAACAGAAAATATTAAGCAAAAGATAAAATTACTGCTTAAATTACTCAATTATTATTTCACAGTACCTTTTCAAATGGCTTTTAAGGGAACAGAATTCTGAAAAAAATAAATATCCATGCTTATAGGAAATACAACATTACTCTAATAGCTTTTGAACAGTAATGTGATAATATAAACATTTTTAATTAATATATTTAAATTATTTTTAAAACAAAATATCCATAAAGTTTGAAAACATAAAAATAATTCCCCCCTTAACTTTCAAAAGTATAGAAAATAATTTACCTTTCATCATGGCTGCACCACCCTTCTTATATTTATTCTTTATTGCAGATAAAGAAATAGCTCCTTCATCATCTTCATCATAACGATCTGGTTCAAGATATGATGTACTAAGACTTCTAGAATGAGATTTTTCTTTCATTCTCCTCTGTTTGCTCTCTCGACGTATGGATGCTTTCAGACGATCTTCTTCTTGCTATTATAAATAAAAGCAATAAAAATATAGAAGATCCAATACTACATAAGCACAAACTAACAAAGGATACTCAACTGTCAAAACTACTTTCCCCCACCTACAACACTGATTAATACTTATAAAGTTCAATAAAATATAATCACAAATAATTTTTAAATATAAATTCTTCACAAATGCACAGTCAAAAGAAATTTCACTTCACAAATAATATATCAACCTATTAATATATCAAGTGCTTAAACTAAGCATTTACCCTCACAGATATTTTAGTATTTAAGAATTTGACTTTTAGCATTGAGTTTTTCTTTATTAACCTCATTAATTGGCACAAAATTTTAAGTATTATTTAAAGAAAATCTATAAAGCATTCTCTCATATTAGTTGCAGTAAAAACCCAACTATTCAACATTCAATTAACCAGAAAGCTCAAGTAACTGATATAGTTTAGAATTTTAAGATTTTTGTAAAAGAAAATACATAAATTAGATAAAAGACTTTGTAAAGAAACATTTATGATTTTTTGGTATAATACTGTAAGTCTGGAAATAATGAGTTGTTTCTGCTCCATCCTCAGCAAATCTAGTACACAAATGGTTCAAATGCACTGAAAATCAACAGCAAAAAAATGTCCCAAAAACTTTCCATAAGAAAAGAATTATGACCCTTACTCCCCCTCCCCCCCAAAAAAAAACACAAATAAAAGCACACAATGCAGATTTATGTTTGCTCTAATTGACCTAAATAAAATAATCAAAGAAAAGAAAGAAGATAACAAAAAGAAACAAGAGAACATGAACAAGAAAAAACGCTCCTTGGAGGAAAAAAAGAGAGAGAGAACAAGAAAGGAAAAGAATAAAAAAATCTCCCTTTTTGAGAAAAAGCCCAAGCAGCTTTTAAAGTTGCTCAATCTTTACAAAAATCAAGGATGTATTTGAGCAATATATCAGCAAGTTCTGGCTAGTATTAAAGTATCAAATATATTTACAAATGATTAAGTGCATCAGCTTTGTACCTTTATCATCTCCCATCTATGCGCTTCAGGATCCTTTCCTACATTAGGTAAAACTCTAATCTTCTGAGTTTTCTGATTTCTATCAGCTAAAGATAATGTCATCTTACGATGAGTAAAACTGTCAGTTGAATGTGGCCTGAAATCAAAATAACAGCAACTTTTTAAAAAAAGCTATAAATTAGACTGATTAATCCATAATTTGCATGAGTTATCTTTTAATTTATACTATCATCAGTTATGTTAAAAATTTGAATGAATAAAATACAGTATGGTGTACACTATTTGCTTGGTATATTGTGACATGCAAGGATTAATTTTCTTTAACATCTGTTAAACAAATGCTACTTTGTAGGTAAAAAATTAATCATTAAAATGCAATTTTATATGCCAGTTTTAAGTTTTAAATATTTACTGACTTTTTGATAAAAATATATATTCACATATTTTTGCAATTTAATCTATTATTTAAAAATATTAATATGTTATAAATATAATAATCAATATAAAAGTATCGGGTTGTTCTGAAAGTAATTTCGTTTTTTTTGGGGGGGGAACATGAAAGACAATTTTCGTATAATAAATAAATATTTTATTAAATTATATATTGGCCATTCTGGTCCAACACCTTTTGCCATCTTTCTGGCAGTAACATGATTCCCCGCTCATAAAAGTTTTGGTCCTTGCTGGCAAAAAAACTGATTCAGGTGGTTTTTGACATCTTCATTTGAGGTAAAGGTTTTACCATCCAAAAAATTTTGCAGGGACCGGAACAAATAATAATCGGAAGGTGCCAGATCTGGAGAATATGGTGGGTGTTGCAGTATGTCCCATTCAGGCTTTAAAAGCTTTTGGCGAGTGACCAAACTTGTATGAGGTCTCGCATTATCCTGGTGGAACACTACACCCTTCCTGTTGGTTAATTCTGGCCTCTTCTGTTTAAGTGCATCATTCAATTTGTCCAGCTGATGACAATAGACTTCCGAATTAATAGTTGTATTGTCCGGTAAAAGCTAAAAAAAAAAAAAATAAATAAAAAAAATTTTAAAAAAAAAAACGTTTCCTTTGAAATCCCACCAAACGGACAGCATCACCTTTTTTTGGTGAATGTTAGCTTTTGAAACGCTTTGAGCCGGTTCATCTTTTCTGCTCCATGACCTCTTGTGTTTCACATTGTTGTATACAACCCCTTTTCCGTCCCCAGTAATAATCCGCTTCAAAAATGGATCATTTTCCTGACGTTTGAGGAGCGAATCACACACGTCAACGCGATGACACAAATTTCGCTCCGTAAGAACATGGGGCACCCACACATCGAGCTTTGAGGTTAAGCCCAGGCCTTTCAAGTGGCCATAAACAGTCGAATTCGACAAATTTAACCTCTCACCGATCTCTCATGTGGTTATTCGCCGATTTGCATCAACTAATGCCTTTATCGCATCTTTGTCAGCTTTGACCGGCCTTCCAGACCGTGGTGCATCTTCGACATCAAAATTGCCGGATCGAAACTTTGCAAACCAGTTCTGGCACTGGCGTACTGTTAACACGCCTTCTCCATACACATCCATCAATTTTTTCCTCGCTTGGACAGCACTTTTATCTTTTCTGAAGTAAAAAAATAAAATATGACGAAAATGCTGCTTATTGCTCTCCATATTTAAAAGGGCACCAACAAAAACTACTGCGTAGAATTAATAGAACTTTTTCACACACAAGCCTTGTAATATCAGCTCTCAAGACATATAATGGTTATGCGGCTTAAGTGTGAAGTTGGTTTCGAAAAAATGTAATTAAGTCCTCTGACGGGAAAAAACGAAATTACTTTCCGAACAACCCAATACTAATAACAGTGAAATTTTAAGTAGCATCCATAATACCAGGTATCCCAAAAAAGTTTAGGCAATAGTTTTCAGTGAAAAATAATGACCCAGTGATTTTGTGCAAATGCACTTTATTTGACAAAGTAATCTCCTTCAGCTTAAATGACATTTTCCCAATGAGTTACAAGCTTATTAATCCAGCATTTGTAGTTCTTGCCCTCAGAGCCAAAAATCTGTTTTGACATCAACTTGGTTTTGGCACTATTGCTCACATAAATGGTTATCCATGGGCAAAAACAGATGATATCAGAGGAAGTGATGTCTGGGGAGTGAGGAGGATCAGGTAAAACTTCCCTACTAAATGTGTTAATCACCTCCTTGGTTGCTTTTGCCATATGTCATCTGGGCATTGTCTTGGAGAATGGTCACTCCTTTCCTGTTGAGTAGGGAAGGCTGCTTCTGATGCAGAGCAGTTGCAACTCTTAGCAACTGGGAAGAGTACACTCTGCAATGATGGTATAGAGTACAGTGTTCTTTGGTAACATAAATTAGTTCGAAAATTCTAAAAGATGACATGTGAGTTATAACCATGTCTTGTAAGTTGCACAGAGACAAGGAAAGTGTGTAAAGTACCCTTTTATTAAACTAAATAAAGTTTAATAGATGACACCAACTCATGATTACAGAAGCAACACTTCTGCCTTTAAATCAAATATAATGGATAAACTAAAGTTAATGAAATTTAAGTCTAGCCTAACAGCTTCACAGTTTAATAAGTGCGCAAGTTGGCTCAGACGAAGTCTGCATAAACAAGCAGGCAAGACTAAATCAGCACATAATTCATATCGCTAGAGGATCAAAATTAGCAACGTGGCTTTCAAGCAGGCAGAACATGCTCTGGTTTCACACTCCAAAACCTTCCTCTAAGTACTTCCTTTTTTTTCTACCTAATTTGAATATTGCCCGTGCTAGAAATTTGCATTCTGGCAGGGAAATTAAACGAGGCTTGATAGGAAAGTTATTTAACTTTAGTTACTATATAATACCCATTTCTTCTCATTTTCTAGTTCAGGAATGTGGATTTCTTATAGCATGACAGCAATGAAAAGCAAACGGTGAGCCACTGGAGTTGGTTTCCACAGTCAGAATGTGAGCAACACATTTACTGAGCCTCCACCCAAGGTTGTGCAGATGCAATTGAATGGTTTCCTCCCATACTCCAAGCCCTTGTGCAAGTTCCTTGTATATTTCTTGTGGATTATGCACAATATCCTTCTTTAGCAGGACTTTGTCAATAGTATATGGATGCCCAGTTTGAGGTTCTCATCTCCCAATGCAAATCAACTGAACCACTTTCCTGCTGTTTACTCATTCATTGATGCCTCTCCAAACATGGAGCATATTTCTCAAGTAGTTTTTGCAGCATTGCTGCCCAATTTGAACTCATAAAGTAAGCACGACTGCAAAACATCCTTTGCTATTTCAGGACACAAAAACCATTTCTGGCACGTTCATTTCATCAGTCTCCCAAAAGTGCATAAATAATTAAAATTAATATATAAGCAATACATTAAGTATAACTATTCTAAAAGAAACAAAGGGTAGAATAGGATGTATTCATATCTTTGAAATATAGATTTGAAATACAGTCAAAAGTCGTTAATCTGGACTCGTCGGGACTTCGGCGATTCCGGATTATCGATTCTTCCGGATTATAGATCATCAGCTTAAATCTCGTAAGATGGCATGCAGAAATTCTAAAATTAAAAATATGAAACCGTAATTTATAAAATAAAGAACAATTGTGATCTAAAGGGTATCAAAATTTACAAAAAAAAAAAAAAAAAAAAAAAAAAGCTTAATATTTATTTGTTTACTTTATTAAACATTTCTTTCAATGTAAGTTGTTTAAGTTGCTTCGTTTTATGTGATAATACTTTCTCTTTAATTCTATAAACAGACACAATTTCTTGTTCAGTTACAAAGTTCCTCTGTTCAAGTCCCGTAATTGCTGTGCCGAGAATACCGACTAACTTGTCAATCGAAATTTTTTCGTTTTCACTAACCTCTCTGTCACCTTCTTCATGTTCTTTATCGATTTTTTGCAGCAATTCCACTTTTTGTTTGATGGGCATCGAAACATACTTTCGTTTTGTAGATCCTTTGGGAGCTCCAGCATCGGAAATTCTACTTGACATAATCGAAAGTTCAAGTTTACTTTTATAAAATTGCTCTTACAGTCTGCAAGAAATAATAAGCTGCATCCAATTCGAAGATTAAGGAACAACACAATCATCAACATTCACTGAAATAGATAATTAGATAATTTTAGCTTATACCGTCCATCATACATTAAACGCGCACGCGAAAACGTATTCCGCGCTTGCGCAGTCGTAAATATATATGCGCAGTCGTAAAGGTCTTACGTGCAAACGTAAACGCCTATGCGCATGCGCAGAAAGTTTTCAGCTTTGAGATACGGATTATAGATCATTCCGGATTATGGGTGACCGAATTAACGACTTTTGACTGTATAGAAATTCTGCGAATGCATGTATTATTTTACAGTGGTTTTTCGAAAGTTCAGACTTTTATATTGATTTACCATAACATTTATTCTAACATTCATTTGAAATTCAAATTCATAATATAAAATACATTTAAACAAGATCACATTTTAAATGTACAGTATAAAAATTTACTATGTACCTGAAAGTAAGTTTAGTTCGAAATACTGCTTGACCCTGCAAACCAGTGCCTTGACGAATAAAAATGTGATTATGATCTCCAGGCATCAGAGTTTGGCGATATACATCAAATATTTCAGAACCTAAATGTAATGACAAGCTAGAAATATGGGGGGAAAAGGAAAATAATGAAAATTTCCTAAGAACATGAATAGTTAACTATTTTAAAAATAATTGCACTGCAATTTTAGGTTCATTGGAAATTTTATATGTACCTTCCATCTGACCATTTGATTATTCTAGCATTGCTCTCTTTTACTTCATTTCCATCATCATCATAGACTTTACGCCATCTAATAGTATTCTCAACCTTAAAGAAATTTTTGAAAAAAAATGCATTTTTAAATTTTTACTGAATATTTGGAGGACAGAATGACTATAGATTCATAATATGTAATTATCACCACGATCAGAATCTCATGAATTATCAAAATAACAGTCTATGCCACTTCCAGAAAGTTTATTAATTACACTAGCTATCTGAAGAAATAAAAGTAACTAGCAAAATAAAGAAACAACACATTAAAAAATCCTATCAGTAAAGCAAAATAGTAAATTTCCATCAAGTAGTTAAACTAAATTAATAAAAGACTAAAAATGTTTTCTTTCTCAACTTTAACTGCACTTTTAGAGACAGTAAGTGACTTATCTCACTAATCTGAAAGTAACATCAGATCAAGTTCATGATTTTATTATGGCCAAGAGGCAAGGATTGTGGCAGTCACTGGCCTTCAGCCTGCCTTGACCCAAGCCTTATCATTGCCTTGGGCAATGTTTGGGTCAATTTGGTGAGCTCTATCCCAATTTTGAAAGAGAATCTAGGGAATGAATCCAAAAGTGCCCTACTCCTCTTGTCATTCCACTAACTTCTCAATAGTACTTTTAAATCATTGGCATTTTAAGTGTCGCCATGTTTTCTCCAGGATTGAATCCAAGCCCAAGGCTATGGAAGCCCTCTTCCCTACAGCCATCCTAACAATGTGGCTTTCAGAGATGTGAGCTACAAGAGTTCTATATTCAGGAACTAACATGGAATGAAACTCAGGAGGATGCTAGCTAATATTAATAATACTATTAACCAAAATTTTCATTTTAAATTAATCTAAAAAAGGTGATAGTAACATTCTTAATAACTGAACATTACTTATTATCTAAATTACTTTAGTACTGAAGTCTTCAGAAATAGGAAAAGGCTAAATTCATTATCAACATGGTCTATTGAAATATAGAAATAATATCAGTACCATTTTTCCCACTAGATTATTTCTCTTAAGAATTTTTTTGCAAAATTCTGCGTACTATCAGTTTCTTACAAAGATCAAAAATAATAAATTCAAATATTTAAAAAAATCAAGTTTAATAAAATATACAAATTAAGCAATTTAAGGCTCTGGATTCCAATCACAACATAAACATTGAAATAACTATGTGTATTACAAATTTTTCTCTTTTCTTCAATCCAGAAAAACTTGATCTTACATTTTTACATGCTTAAATAAATTATTTTTCATTTTATATTTCTCTCTATTCATTTATTAATCTTGGAAATAAAAAAATTTCATCTCCTCTACACACACACCTGGTTTACAAAAACTTACTAAATCTTTTGTATGCTATACATTTCAATTACAAATGATAAAGAACTTAAAATATCAGCCCGATTTCAAATAAAATTATAATTAACAGTGTTCATTTTTGACTCCTGACATAAAATTGAACAATGAAACAAGGTCAATCTCAAATACATTTTCATGAAGGATTTGAACTACACCCACTCCCAATAAAATAAAAATCATTAAAGCTATACCACACACTGTCACTTAATTCTTTTCCTATGTCTTTTGCACAATACTAGATATTCCTTCCCTCAAACTCTCCCTTCCCTCATAAGTGTTCTTCCCTTTTTATTAAATTTCTACTGGTAATTTTCCCCTTTATTTCTGTTGGTTTCATCCCTGAAACACTGTTCTAAAAAAATCTGATGTGGACACCACATAACTTCCTTGTACAGCCTATTAAATTTTACATATTTGCTGCTGCATTGGAAACTGATATTAAATACTGTTAGATATTTACAACAATAAACATATTAAATATAATTAGATATTTATTGTAAGATTAACTACATATATCAAATGTTATTATATATATAGTTAGATTTTGTTATTTGTTAAAAACTAATTTCTTATAATTTAACATTGCCGAAACATGAATGTTTTCATCATTTAAAACACTTCTGTAATTAGAAGTATATGTGACTACAACCAATGACTGTGAAAATAAAGGCCGGGTAAGAATTTTTAAGACATATAAGGAAGTGGGTATTATGTGATGCTGTAGTTTAGAGGTTTCCAGTCATGGTACATTTCACTTTTTAGTTATAGTCGAAGTGGTAACAGATGTGATGTACAATGCAGACAGAGTAATAGATGTGAACTCTTTGAAGAACCATAAAATCCTCGATAAGAACACTATATCTTACTATTATTATTACTTGACGATTATGCTGTTCAAACATCACATTGAGTAACAGAGCAAAATGGGAGCCATCTGGTTCCCAAAATTTTTAAATACATACTCACGTTTTTTTAAACAATACAGAAAGAAGGCGAAGCGAAAGACATGGTTTACTCAAGTAGCAATAGGTGAGGAAAAAGTAACGCATACTAACTGCAGTTGTATTTATAGCCAAAGAATGTTTTTGTTAATCCTGAGCAATTATTAGGATAAAGATGTCGCAATGCAGGGAAAAAGTAACGTTATCATGCTACAGAGTGATGAAAAGTGTAAAGCGAATTGTTGAAGGACAGATTTATTTAATTAACATTTATAAATTTAAAGGTCTACTGCCAATTAGTTTTGATATTGCAAATTAGTTCACAGCAATAATAATCATTTTATTTGTTTGCAATTGAATTTACATAAAATAAAAAATTTAACTTACTTTATATGAATGAGATATATTATACAGGATGTTTCTAAATGAATATCAGGGTTTTAATGCTTTGTAATATTTAGTACATAAAACTTAAAATCATAATTAATACATGAAATGAAAGAGCAACTTGAACAGTTCTGTTTTTTGGTATGTGCATGCACATACAATAGTAGCAAAAATGGTGACTACTGAACAGAAATCTTTTTTGTTCTGCACTTTGCAGAGACTGACTGTGCAATATGCATTCCAGATTAAATTCAGATGTGATCCCCCAAGTGATAATAACATCCATAGACAGTATCATCAGTTTGAAAATACCGGCTGTCTCTGCAAAGAGAAGAGTACGGGATGACCAAGGGTTAGTGAAGAGAGTGTTGAGTTCATAAAGGATCATGTTAGTTAGTTCATAAAGAATTGTGTGCATGTGCTTCCACTACCAGCTGATCTACCTGACCTAAGAAACAGGACTGAGGCAGCTGTTGCAACAATTATACCAAAAATACTAATCAACTGGGCTATCGACTTGATGTGTGCCATGTGACAAAAGGTGCTCACATTGAACACTTGTAGGATTGTAGCTATAACTGTTTGAGTTGCTTTTTCATTTCATGTTTTCATTATAATTCTAAGTTTTACGTAATAAATACTACAAAGCGCTAAAACCCTGATATTCATTAAGAAACACCCTGTATTGTATTTGTTATATTCATATACCCATATATATATTAACATATATATAAATTTGGTACAACCAACTACAATTTAAAAAAAAAGCATGCACAACTAGATGTGCATATAATGGTCCCATATACAAAATTTTAACATTCTACAGTTAACTCTTTTTGAGTAAAGTGAGATACATACATACATATGTACACAAGTACAGATATTCCAAATAGTCCCTTTTTAATCCATTTTACGATATGTTTTGGAAAAAACAGAGTTGTTGATGTTGAGTGTATGTACAAAAGTTATGCAAAAAAATTATCTAAATGGACTGGGAAAGGTTTCAAATGGGTTGTTCAAATCTCTGTTGAAATATGATACCCAAACTTCCTGCGATTATATTTCCTTTACTTTATGAAAGGAAGTAAAAAGAAAAAACATGAAATAAAAAAAAGGTATGCAGAAAAAAAAAGTAATTACAGTAATTACTTCTTAAATAATTAAATGAAATATGCAAAACGAAAATAAAAAAATCAGACGTGGACACATCAGATTCCTAGTACAGCCTATTAAATTATATAAATTTTTTGCTGAAATTCATTTAAACTTTTCCCTCAGATTTCATTGGATGTATATTTCTGATTCAATGAACTCAGTTCTCATCCAAGGCAAGGCCAAACTACATGAAAACTCAAAGCGTCTTCATTTAAACTTGTAAAATAAATAAATAAATAATTAGATAAAAAAGACTTTAAAAAATTTTTTAAAAATCTTTGCAGTTAGAATTACAGTTTCTACACAAAAACAAATAATTTCACCAACAGGTATACGGCTAAAATTGTCAGTCCACCAAAATTAAAAGTTAACTGTCAGCCTCAATGAGCAGAGCAATACTGAAGTTGGTGCAACAACTTTATTCATTATACTACTAAGAGAACAATGTTAAATTCATGCCATGCTAGGCTTAACTTCACTTAAACTTTTAAATTGTTAATAATTTTACAACTTTTGCATCCAGATTAACTAAAGGCATAAAAACCTTAACCAGAACAATATAATTCAATCATTTCTAAAGCAAAAAATGTATAATTTACCTAAGAATAAAAAACAGAGCTCATCGAGCTGTGTAAGAGGATGGATATATATATATATATATATATATACTTTTGTGTGGCTGACTGCAATAAAAAACAAAGGTGCACAAGTAGTCACTACAGCAGTCCAATTTACAAAATTTTAACATTCAAGAGCTAATCGTTTTTGAGTTATGTGATATATACACATACATACGTATGTACGGACATCACAAAAATAATCTCTTCTGAAGCCAGTTTACAATCCATCCTTTCTGTCCGTACGTACAGATGTCACACAAAAAGATCGTCCAAATAAGACTCGACAGAGGTCAAAATGGGTATTTTTGTTGAAACATAATATCCAAAATTTTTTTGCAATTACAATACTCCAATTATTTCAAACAAGGAAGTAAAAATAACAGCAATTAACACTGCATTAGAAGAAAGAATCATATCATGCAAAACATAAAAAAGAAATGCAAAACAGCAGGCACAAAATTAAAAATGGTATTAAAAGCAGATATAAAATTTAAAATGGCATTAACAGCAGGCATAAACTTTAAAATGGCATTTAGCATCAGGACTGCGTTTCTTTCAGGATAGTGGAAGAAATTAAAAGCACTGAAAAAAGATGGAAAAAATTAATATTGATGCATCTGTGGGACTGTCAACAGGGATAAATTTAATAATAACAATTTAATTTGCTATTAAATTAAAGGAGATTACTGAATTTAAATTTAAAGAAACAAATTAAGAAAATGTAAAACTTTAATTTATATTATAAAAAAACTGAAACTGGCTTTTACAATAATTAATCAACAAGTCTCAATTAATTAATCAGATAGTTGCATGCATGTACAGGAAATCTGAATATGATTTAATTAATTTAATTAACTAGGCAACAAAAATAATTAAATAATATTCCCCAAAAATACTATATACCATATTTGCCAACTTATAAGATGCTTTTTTTCTTATAGGTCTGAAAAATGGGATGCATCTTATATGTCGATACTCAGTTTTTGATTACATTCATTTCTGGAAATTTCCTCCAATGAGTCATGTGATAGTTTCTTGTTTCCTTGCGGAGTGTGGGAATATTACAGTTACATAGAGTTCAGTGAATGAGCATGCACTGTCATTGATGATCACAGCTGGGTTTATTTAAACTTTCCAATTTTTGTGAACGACTTTTAAGTGTGTGAAATTTCTACTGTTTAATTTTCTTACGGCTCAAAACCAATGTCGGCATTGCTATAACATAACATATAAGCTACGTGTGATTGTACATGCTAAAGTACATGGAAATAGGACTGCAAAGAGGCATTTCGGGAACCTCCCAAATGAGAAAATAAGTAGATCTTGAGAAAACCATTAAAAGGATCTAAAAAAAGCAACTAACAGTAAACATAACCTACGAAGGGGAATTGCACAAAGGCCCGAACCTGAGGTAGAGCTGAATACTTGGATTTTAGATCACAGGAAAGCGGGACTTTCTGTCTCTACAAAAATGATTATTCATCAAGCGAAAGCGATAGCGACCGATAGAGAGATTGATGATTTTACTGGATCAAAATCATGGTGTTGAAGATTCATGAAGAAAAACCAGCTATGTATGAGGACTAAAACAAAATATCACAAAAGATGCCAGATAAGCATGAAGAAAAAATTATTGAATTTCATCGATTCATCATTCATGCGCGAAAACGAGAAAATTTTGAACGTGCAAAAGTAGGAAACAGGAACGAGGTTCCTCTGACTTTTGATGTGCCCTCAAACAAAACTGTAGATTCCTAAAGGTACAAAAAATGTTACTATTAAAACTTCATTTAGCTCTGGAGATGAGTGTCTGGGTTTTGATAAAGGAGATTAAAAGATGTTCTTTCCCAGATGGATTGGGCATTTGCACAATGTACTATTTTGTATTTGTAATACTTTACATTTAAAATACTGTAAATTCATTATAATGATCAGTAATAAAGTTTTATATTTCAAAAATATGTATAAAAAGGGGGATGCATCTTATTCACAGGCAAATACAGTAAATGAAATTATTTAAATCGGTTAGAAATACAGCCATGTTATATATGAATGAAATACAAATAAAATAATATTAATATGAAAAATAAGGAAAATTATCAATATTTTCTAGATAGTTTTCTCCATCATGGAAGAAACTTGCTAAACTACTAACTATTTCCAAAATCTTATTTTACATTGATGCTGTAAACAACACATTAAATCTCGTATGGTAAGAAAGGAACATGATTTATGAAATTTCACATAAACTGTGTAATGTAGTAAAGACTGATATTCAATAAGATTAGAGCAAATTTTCTCCTCTATTTGAATTCATCCAATCAAAATTAACAGAATGGGTTACCATATTCAACAGCAAAAAATGTTCTGCATTGTTATCATTTTTATGATGATATAGTTCAGTTGGTAACATAACTTTCTTTTTTAATTCAATTTCATTTTCTATCCTTTCTAAATAAGTATGTTATTTTACTATTTTTTCTATAGAATGAGCTGTAATTAAATTTCAGAATCTATCTAAATTCACAAATGTGAGAGCAGATCTTATGGCAAATTTACAAAAATACATACATAACATAAAAAGAAAAAATAAATAATTCCTAAAAAGGTTATTGTAAACGTACAGATGAGGCTAGTTAAATTATATAGAAAATTAAAATAATTAAAGTTGTAATGCAACAATACTAAACATGAATAAAATACAGATTTAATAATATAAAATATTTAATAATATAAATAATTTTTGAACTTTTACATTATTAAATATATTATTAAATATAAATAGTTAATAACATAAAAGTTCAAAAATTAGTTTATGCTATCCCTGCCATTTGAGTAAAAAAAAAAATCTGTTTTTTTCCAGCTGGATTTTCCATAATTTTTTCTGCTGTGGAAGAAATTTGCCAATCCAGTTTAGTATAGCAAAGAGTACTTCTACTTCAGAATGCATACAATGCCACCTATATTTAATTAAATCAGAGTGTGAAAATTGGTAAACAGAGCCTTTCTGGTATCTACTGCTCAATTTCGTATTAGTACACTAGTACCTAGCAGATTCAGTATGACTATATATTAGATGAAAAATTTGGCTGCATGAGCCAAAAGTCATAAGCCTAGATAGAAAGCCAATTATTGCCAGGAAAGAAGATGAACCAAACTGCCAATGCTTAGTATTAAGAGAATACACAAAATTAAAAAAGTGGCAAGTGATATGACTTTAATAGAATAAATCATAAATTATATTATTAGTTCTGTAATTAAAAAAAATCACTGGAATTCATTTGTATGAATATGATTCAATATCTATGCAACTGACATTTTAAGAACTACTGCAGATGCAGTTCTTAAGATTTCAAATATAATTCTTGGGTTAGGTATATAAAAATTATATTCTCTCTATGTTCATTCTAACTTTCTAGAACAGAGAACAAACTTAAAAATATCATTAATCCAGCAATTCAATTATTTTTACAGTAAGAATATATCTAAGAAGAGGTTTACTTTAAGCTTTAATCTAGCTCGACCTTCTTCATCTAAAACTTCATCTTCATCAATTTCATCTTCATACCACTGTGGATCATAAGGCCTAAATTATAAAAAAAGAATTTGGGAATGAAAATACCTTGCGAAGTTATTTTTTAAATGCAGAAAATATTTCATAAAGTACACATTTCCAATCTAAATATTGACAGCTTTTCTCTGGATGGCTTAAAATATATAAAGACCCACTAATAAAAATATTCATACCTTAGTACAATATAATTAATCCTTGACACATTTAGATGCTACTATCTTAACTAACTATAATTTGATAGCTTTAAGAACATAATTTGTAACTTGAAGGTTAAGACTTTATTCCTTGGTATAGTGTTAGAAAAAATGAAATTTTAAAACTTCATTTTTAAAAATGAAACATCTAAACAGATTTAAAGAAATCTATTAATGAATTACAAAAGTCAGCAGTTTTAGGAATAAATTTTCTTATTTAATACTAATTTTTCCCCACCAAAAACAAATACATAAATAAATAGAAGAAGATAAAAATTCCCTTTTTATAACTAGACATACATTTAATTTTAAAATGTTTATTACATTTAAAGTTTGACAGTATCAATGAGATTCATTCTGTTTCATTAGGAAAACTATTCAACTTTAAGAGAATTTCCAATATGAGCTGAGAATCTCACAGAAATTTGAAGAATTTTTTTTAAAAATCAATATTTTAAAACATAAAAATAATTTTACTTATATAGTATGCTCTTAAGAAATGTTGATTACCTTTCAGATTTTTAATTTTTTCTGCTCTGTTTTGAAGAGTATTTTTTTTTTTTTTTTTTTTTTTTTTTTTCATAATATAACAAAATAAAATGGCCTTATTTTAGCTATTTTAGGCACCTCACAGATTTAAACAGAGAAAAAATGTAACTAAAATTATGATACAACAAGAGAATAGGATTTAAATAATGATGAAAAAATTAGAAACATAAGATAATTGTAAACTGGAAGTTATTAAAACACAGTATTCAGAATGTTAAAAACAAAATATAGAATTTAACTATGTTTTTAAATAAATACACTACCTTGTATCCACACTAAGAAAGTTTGGCAACTTTATAAAATGAACTTCTTTTCCAAGATTAGTGCAAATTCTAGGAATTTCCAATTCAATTCTTGTTTCAGGAACTGGTTCTTCCTGCTCTTCTTCCTATGCATTAAAAAATACAGAACTTTCAAAATTTAGTTTGAATTATAAAAAATGTGATAAATGATGAGAAATTTCCCAAAAGAAAAAATAAAAAACATAAAAATAATTTGACTGGACATAAAAACAGATATATACATACATATTCTCTATCATTATTACAGATATGAATTTTCAATTTCCTTTTCTTAACATTTAGATTACATTATAGATGGTAGTAGCGGTAGTAATGACTTTACTAGCACAAAACCCCAAAGGGCATCTGCATTGAATACAAGTCAGATGCTTTCACACAAAATTGAGAGACTTAATTAGACAAAATAGATGAATAGACAAGATTAAAACGATGGAAATGCATAAAATACAAAGAAGCTAAAAATGATGGATGCTAGGATAGAGTTTCTTGTAATGCAGATAATGAGATCAGATTTGTACAGCTATAAAATCCCAAAATATGAAATATATTGAAAGAGATATTATTAAGACACTAAGATACAACATGAAAACAAAATCAAATTAAATAATGATGAAAAAAATGATGAAAAAAACCTGCCTCTTTCAGGTATTGAAACAAATTGATATTTGTCTCTTTCCCAATTAAATGGTCAAGAGCCAAGTCGCATTTGTTGAAATGTTTCAACCAAAGTCTTTTAAAATATGGACACTTAATGAAAAAACAATGAACTGAGATGACAGCATTACAGTGGAAGCAAATCAGTTCACATTATGCTTTTAGTAAATAGTGGTGGGTAATTTGCGATAACCAATTTAAAGTCGAGTAAGTAGAACTTCCTCCTTCCAGTTCTTAGTAGCTATCCCAGTTTTGATTACATTATAGAAAACAAATTGTATTGATTCATGTTTGTTTCCTTTGCCTAAGATACCAAGAGCAATTTTGAAAACTTTTCAAAGTGATAAAAAATTTATCTTTTTTGCACCTTTCAATATTTTAGAACTAGTAAAGAGTTCATACGGTAGATGTACACAACCCTAACTTATTTTTAAATAAGAAAAAAAATTAATACTCTATGCTGAAATTCATGAAGAGATAATAAAAAGCAAATAATAGAAAAATATGTATGTTAACAATACAAATTTATAAACAAGTGATTATATATGTGGACTATTCCAGTATTACAATTATTAGGATATTGTCTTGCATTACATATAATGACTTCATTTATTACTTTAAATGTATTACATACATTCTTTTATTACTTTATATGTATTACATACATTCCAAATGAGATATTCATAGGTCTTTCCTCTTTATATGTAATGCATTCACCTTCACAGTCTTTTTTCTGATCAATGTAGTTTTAAAAAATGTGAAAAAATTTGCATTTGATTCAGAAATAAATAGTAAACCTAACAAAGAAAATGCAAAGGGATTAAAACTAATAAATATATCATTCCTTGCATTTATAACACTAGTTCCTCTTTCATCAGTGCAAATGTTATTAAATTATATCTTCATTTAAAATAGTAAGGCAATTTGTGGTACAAAACTACTATTAGAAATCATCAATACTGCCAACTGATACAACTTCAAGACATTCACACTTTAACATTCAATTAAAATTATATATACTCAATGGTTATGCTCTCTGTATATTTCTATTTAAAAGTTATTTGTTTATTATTAAAATGAATTTATTAACTATCATAAACCAATGCAACATTCAAAATTTAAATCTTAACTTTTGACGGATCTCTGGAATGAAAAGATAACCTGCAGACAATATTATTTGAATAGCTATCATGTCTAAACAAAACTGTCATAGTCTGAATTAACTTAAAATTAATATTTTCTGCCTCCTATAAGAATTATTATAATGTTGCAACTTTTAAACAACAAAGGTGTTTAAACCTTCACTTTTGTTATCATACACATTACACTCATTGTTTTTATTAAACAGAACACGTTTGAATTGTTCATATCCAGATTCAGTATAGCCTTTTCCCAGTCTTTTCTGCTGTTTAAGTAGATTTTCAGATGAATAACACTCAGTTTTACCCTACACTATTTCAAAATGTGTATTATTTTATTGGAAGTTTTAGCATCTTAGCTAATTGAAAATATTAATATTATAGCTTATCATGATGCTATTAACTTCTCTATAGTTTTAGTCAATGAAACTTCTCTAGACTAATCTACTTTCTTTTTCACAAAAAAAACTTTTCACCACTTTGGATTTTTCTAAAAATTGTGCTTCTTCACTTTTAATATAATTTACAAAACTTTTCCCATTGAGTTTTTCTTATATGTTACTTCTATTATCATTCAACTTTTTTTAATTTCTAATGATTAATTTTAACAACTGTTGGGTAATTTTGAAAAACCTGTTTCAATCTCCCCTTCTCCATTTCTCAAAACAGAGTTAAAAATCAGTTAGTGTAAGTTTATTAATTTTATACTCTAAGTTCTTCATCAGCAGCAAGTTTTAATACTCTGGCACAAATATAAGACTGCCCTGTATTTTTGACACTTTATCACAAAAGAATGACTGGCTTTTAGACAATCTCATATATATAAGCCTGATATATTGTAAACAAAGAAAATAATTAAATATTCTAAATACTACATCTTAAAGTAAAACTAAGTAAATATGTTTTCTTATCTTTAATATAAAAGTTAAGGGATTAGTGATAAGCTATCTTTATTGTCAGGACAAACACATAAAATGGAAGTATTTTATATTCATTCAAACAGTGACTTAAGGAATAACATGCTCTTTAATAAAGTTACTTTTTTAAGTTTATGCATTTAATGTATTATTCTTCTTATGAAGTATCACATAATCTTACACTAAGTACTTAAAAATTTAAGTTCTAAATAAAAATAATTTATCATTCAAGAAATTAAACATTCTCAAACAATTTTACCTTTTCTTACAGTAATTTTTTTAGTTTTTTCATTTGAAGGTTTTTTTGTTCTCTTATTTTCTTTTAATATGCCTGCTTCCAGTATTCCTCACCATACTGAGCAAGACGCAATCATTTAGTTAGTGTGTGCAGCCCTAAGACTATTGAGTGTAATTATGTCAATTTTTAGCTTTTCTTAGGCAAGTTATACTGTATATTATTTACATAAAAGAAATCATGAACGCATCTAGAAAAAAAACTCTCAGGAGCAGAATATAGAAAAAGAGCAAAAGATAGGACCAAATAGAGAGAAAAAAGTGCAGCTAAAATGAAAAAATGGCTTCACGGAAAAGACGAACCGTCCGACCCTGCCGCAACTTCCAATGGTGCCGAAATTCTAAAGGATATTGATATTTCTTGCAATTTGAATGACCAAGATGAAAAATTTTCATTTATCATCCTCGAACAGACTACATTTCAGCAACTGAGAGAGCAACCTTCTTCATCAAACGAGCATTTAGAGGACATGAAATTAGGATATAAAGCATTTTCTTATTTAGGTGCATGTGGGCAGCAGAAAGAAGACTTAAAACTTTTCATTTGTTGGGCCCAGGTAGTTGGCCAATCACAGAAAAAAAATTAACAATCAGCAACGATCTTTCTTAAGCAGTCAAGCTTTATTATTAGCTGAAAAACATCCAGAAAACATAGACCTTAGGTCCATTGAAAGTGGTGAAAGACATTTGACATCTTCATTGTGGCACAGAAGATTAACAAATAATGAAAAGATTAACAGATCTTAGCTTATATGTTCTAAAACTAAAAATGCAATTTTTGCACACCCTGTGAGAACCTGTATTTACCAGAAACATGCCACTGCCGCTACATCAGCATTGTGTACTACAGGATTTATTAAAAGGAAAAAAACTTCTGAAAGGTTAATTGAGCACGAAGCATCTGAAATCCACATAGAGTGCATGATTAAGTGGAAAATTCGACGACAACAGATAAAATTATGTCAAGGCATCGATCATTAAGCGACTATTAATTTAGAAGTCAAATAACAAAAATCACCATTATATTTTCTAATTTTCACAGGACTAGTTTCGATGGTTTTACCGAAACATCATTCTCATCTGCAAAAGGGCAAATGAATGAGATAAGATAAGATAACATGGACAGGAGTCAAGCTACTGACGCCATCTGTTGATGAAACCTTAACTTCTTTAAAGGCTGAAGGCAAAGATGAATTGGAATTAGGGTCACTAACTAGAACAGAAAGTTTTTTTTAATGTGAAATGCCTCTAGAAAATCCAGTTCACCAATGGAAGATGTTTTTTGAATAATTTTGGCAGCAGAAAAATTGAAAGTGTGATTTTCGGACTTACAATGCTGGGCAGCATTGTTGGTTGCTGTATTGTATGGATGCTGCATTGTATCTTTTAACAAACTGTCTTTCTTTCTGTGGGTCTAATGGAGCCCCTAGCTATCTTCGACCTAGTCAAGGCAATTTTTTTAATTTAATGACACTGCTAGCCAAACATAACTCTTAAGTACCAGTTAGAACACCTAAAAAAAGGGACAAGTATCATACTTAACAAAGATAATTCAAAATGCACATAACTCTTAAGTACCAGTTAGAACACCTAAAAAAAGGAACAAGTATCATACTTAACAAAGATAATTCAAAATGCAATTACTGATATAATGGCAAAAATAGTTCACAATAGCATTTTAAATGATATTAAAGAAGCCAAATATTATACACTAATGTTCGACTGCATTCCAGACATGTTGCACACAGAACAAAAGAGCCAGGTGGTTCGATATGTAAAAAATATGTGGTGATGTGCATGAAATAAAGGAGAGCTTTATTAATTTCATAGAAGTTTGTGGAAAGACATGAAAATGCATTTCTTAATAGATTGTGGGAAAACTGACACTTGATGGTTTAGATATTGGACCATGTGGTGGTCAATCTGATGATAACGGACTTAATATGGCCGGTATTTATAAAGGAGTGCAAGTCAGAATTACAGAAAGAAATAAGCTGGCTGAATGTGTGCGGTGTTTGGCTCACTCTTTAGGTCTTGTTAGTGTGCATTCTGCATCTTGCCCCGAAGCAGTTAACTTATTTGGAATTATCCAGGACATATTTAGCTTTTTTGTAGGATCCACTATTTGATGGGATATTACAAAAATATGTACAAAAACCAACTTAAAAGGAAGCAGCCAGACAAGATGGTCGGCAAAATATGTGGCTGTGAAAGCCCTTCTAACGAATTTACCAGAAGTAGTAAAATCCTTGAAAGAAATTAATTATCTTTCTCTTACAACAATATCAAAGTACGAAGCAGGACATCTGCTATATGTTGTAAAAAATTTTGAATTTATCATCAACCTGACAATTTGGGCTAACATTCTTCAAGAAATCAATCGAATAAATACTAAAATTCAAAAGGAAGATACTATTCTTGCGCATTCTTATGAATTTGAGAGAAATTCCTATGGAATATTGGATAGAAGAATCTAAAGCAGCAGCCAAAAAAATTGAGGTTGAACTTATTTTGACAAATAAATGAATTCTAAAGCGCGAAAAGCAATTTGATAAATTGTACGAGGACGAATCATGAACACTTCATCCTGTTCACCTATTTTCTAATGTAATGAAAATTGTATTTCATCAAATCTTATCAGAAATTAAAACGAGAGTAAACAGTGCTACTATACTAAATTCAAATTTTGCATTTCTGAATGGTCGTGAAATATTGAATATGTCAACTGAAGAATTGCAGAAGAATGGAGCAGATATTGCACGAAAATATGAGCGAGATCTAAAAGCATTTGAGTTCTGCCAGGAACTTGCCATTTTTAAACAACAAGCAGCAATGTTATTCGTCAACATAAAAAAGGCTAGAGCTTTTTATATCTTGCAACAGATCTACACTATGATTTTCTGGATGCTTTTCATAATATTGTATTGCCCTGCAGATTTACGCTATGCTTCTAACTACATCCGTAAGCTGTGAGTGAAGTTTTAGCAAATTTAAACTTAATAAAAACTATCTGACAGCACCAATAAACCAGGAGCATTTATCAAGTCATGCAGTTCTGGCAATCGAAAATCAAACAGCACATCAAGTTAATTATGATGATGCCACAGATTTATTTCAAGAATAAAAGGCTCGCAGAGTAAAATTTTAAGAGCATTAGATAAGAACTTAAAATTATTAATGAAATAAGAATTATAAAAAGAAGTACAAATACTAACCTTTTCTTTTCAGCAGTAGCCCTTATTGTTTTTATGTATAGACAATGAAAGTTAGTTACGTAATGAATCAGCTCATTTATTGTCCCCGATTATGTAATTTATTGTTTGTAACTAAAGATTATTTTTATTACGAGTGCATATTTGATTGAACGTTAGGACTTGCTTTGTTACTGAAAAAAAGGAATTTGATTACTCATTGCGTTAGTGATTTGTAACTTATTCATTTAAGCTATTTTTAGTAATGTGCCATTTCTATTTTTTGTAATATGCTGACTGCTTTAGAATTTAGTGCTGAATGACTTTCCATTCATATGGCTAGTTATTGGCTAGTTATTGTTGCAAATATTGCAAAACTGCATATTTCGGAGAAAACGTAAATTTCATTATGTAAGTATTTATCATGTTATCGGCCTTTGTGAGGACATTAGTAGAGTTCTTGAGTAGGCTACATAAAAGGCGTTATTGTGAAATGAATTTTTTAACATGCTAGGTTAAAGTTAATGTTAGTATCGAAAAATTGGTATAAAATTATTCAATCCTTTGCATTAGTGATTTGTAATTTGCTTATATTTGTTTAAATGAAATTTTTTATTATTTAGTAATGTGTGATTCCCATTTTTGTACTGTGCTGAACTATTTTAGTATTTAGTATTGAATCATTTTCTATTAGTATCGTTTATTAGTATGAGTAGGTATTGCTGCAAATATCGAAAAAAAATCCCTAATTTAGGGAAAATGTAAATCTGATTATTTCAAGGCACCGGAGAAGCAACTGCATTAGGATGGATCGCACAGGTTTTTAATTATGTAACTTTTGGTATGTATGTCGGGCCACCAGCAGCTGAGAGGTCTCACCACTGGCAGTTCAGTCGGGTTTAGAATCAAGCGAATTAGCAGGCTGCACGGGTGTTTCCTTGCATATGAGACAATTACTCTTAGAAAGTCTTTAGCGATATCTTCTCTCGGCCAGGTAGCGCTCTCTTATGCTTTGCCGTAAGAAAAGAAAACCATTTGTATGTATTTCTTTTATAACAAAAATGGCACATAAAGAATTCTATTATAAATGGATTTTACATTTTATCTCAAACCCTACCTATTTCTATGCTTATTTAAAAAATTAAACTTTGTTAGAGAAACTTAAAGGAAGATGGGTGAGGGCGGCAGTTTTAAGCTTTTGCCCCACTTAGGAAAAATGCTAAATCCAGCACTGTGTAAAGGGTAGTACTTAATTCTAGTATCCACATGTTATTACAGTGTAAAATTGCATTATATTACCTGAGTATCTCGAGGTGAATTTCTTTCAAGATCACCATTTATTACTTTCTCTTCAGCATTTGCCCTATTTTCTTCATCTGAACTTATATCCACATCTTCACCAAAGAGATCATGAGCAGTTGCTATAAAATGAAAATATTACATTAAATTTATGTCTTATGTTCTTAATAAAATATCATCAGCCTATACACAAAATTGATTTTTTTTTTATAGTTACTGCAATGCAAAACAAGGAAAAAAGTAAAGGCAAAACTTAAATCAAATTATACTATAAGAGAAGACCATAATAATCTAATGAATAATATACAAATGTATTAATTTCAATGTAAGAAATGGATAATGATGTAATTTATATAAAAGTATGATTAAAGGAAAGTGTCCAGCTAAAATATTAAAAACATTTTAATTTTTTACTTTCAAATCCTGTCAAAATACTTTTTTCTTTAATCTTCCTCTCCTTTTAAATTAACATACTTCACATATTGTTGATGTAAATATATATATAGCAATGTTGATGGTATAGAATGTAGAATATTGAATCCATAATGAACAGAAAATGTAGCAGCTGAGGAAGATTAAATATTCATTTTTTTAATGATATTTGTAACCACATTTCATAAGTTTGCATGCAATGCTTGGAATTCATTGTTGAGCAGATCTCAAATTTTTGTGGACTGCGACTTAAAAAAGACAAATTATCAGATTACATAATGACAAAATAAATAAAAAATTCAAAAAACACAAAAATGCAATTTCTTTTCTATATTTTATAGAGAAATATGAATTAAATACATAGATGAAATTATTTTGAATTCTTCTCTATGTGTTTGAGTATTATATTACAATTTTATATTAAAAAAGGACAAAAAACATAAAAATTACTTTTTTTGTTTTCAAATACATGTTTATAGTAGATTTTATTAAAACTTTACAATGTTCTAATTTGAGTTCTCATACCAAATTACACACTCATTACTTTCTGATCAGTTACACAATTTTCTTGCTCCAAATTTATTTGAGTTTATTACAGGCTGTCATTCTTATAAGAATAAAAATTTATTATTTTTAGTTCTGGCTTTATAGAAAAATAAGAATTCCAATTACCATAATCTTGCTCAAAAGATTGACCTTCTGTTAGAAGTTACAGGCTTGGTGAGTCTTGACAAAATATTTATTTGATGGAGTTAAAAAACTTATCAGTACAACAGGGTACTTTGCATCAATACTGAATAAGGAATGGCCATCAATAAAAATCACCAAAACTATCCACATAACCCTAATGGAAGCATACTTTTTTTCCTTTCCTTCTTCTTTTCTCTAATCAACAAGAAGCAACAAATATCTTCTATAATTCATTTCCCTTTGCTGTGATGCCACGTACCATATTTCCTATTTTAGAGTCTTATTAAGTGCAAATTTCATTACTGACTTCTGAAAAACTGTATGGATTCTGGCAATAATAGGATTTTTTATCTTTCAATGTATCTACATACACAAATATTCATATTATTAACAAGATCTAATAACAAGACCTATACATCTGATAAAGGATTGCAAATGTAAATGCAGAGATGCATGCTAACTAATAATGAATAATATACAAATGTATTAATTTCAGTGTAAGAAATGGATAATGATGTACTTTATATAAAAGTATGATTAAAGGAAAGTGTCCAGCTAAAATATTAAAACATTTTAATTTTACTTTCATCCTTCAAATACTTTTTCTTAATCTCCTCTCCTTTTTAATTGACATACTCACAAGGTTGAGTAATATATATATATATATAGCAATGTTGATGGTATAGAATGTAGAATATTGAATCCATAATGAACAGGAAATGTAGCAGATGAGGAAGATTAAATATTCATTTTTTTTTTCAAATGATATTTGTAACCACATTTCACTTGGCACCCTAATCATGCCTTTTAAGAATATTTACATTTTTGAAAATATTGTGATTAGAAGAAAGCAGCATGGAAATAGAGGTAGAAGCAAAAGTGTGCAGTTATATAATATGAAGGCTTACCAAAAGAAGGTTTTGGTTTAGGTTGCTTATTAAGAGAATAGTTTCAGTTCTCAAAATTTTGAGTTCAGGTGACGAATTAGCTATATCATCAGCATTACACAAGCTATGTGACATAGGTTGATCTAGAAATGACATAGTCCAGAAACGTTATTACTATTTATAGAATACCGATAGGATATAACCAAGTTAAAAATGAGGAATTAAGAGGCCATTGCTAAATTAAATTATAAAGCTGATTTAAATATTTTTTACCTTACATATTTATGTATATATCACTTGTTTTTCAATGCTGAAATAATTAAATACCAAGAACTAAATTTCATGATTCTTGCAAATGATCAAACCATTGAGGAACGTTCAAACATCAAATGTTCAATCTTTCCCCCAAGTTTTGTGCATCAAATGAATATTTTATAACAATAATTATTTCAAGTTAATATTTTTTAATCCTTTCATTTTCAAAAACAGAAATAATTCCTTACACATTAAAGAATATATGCAAATAATTTGCTTTAATATACATATAAAAGCAAATAATTTCAATCATGTTTCTTCTACCTGTCAAAATATATTCTAATATACCTAACACAATGGATTCTAATATACCTAACACAATTGCTTTTTGCTTTTTTTAAAATAGATTTTTTATACATTTTAAAGATGGTCCTGCTTTCATTTCTTCATGGTCAGGTTTGCTTTCATCAAAACTAACTAATTCCTTCCGAGTATCTAACTTATTTACAGATATTTATTATACATAAATTTTTTTAAAAAATCCCCCCCAAAAATTTGCCAAAACAAAAATTGTCTAATAACAACAATTAAACACTAAATATATCAATACTCATATCACACAAATCCACATATATTCACCTTTTGGAGAGCCATCTTCATCTTTACCCTCATCCATTTCATCTAAAAAATGCAAATTTTGGATACTAAATCATCATGCAGAAAGTATTTCATAAACCAAATTAATTACATTAAAAAAGCATTAACAGAGATTGTACATTAGTTTAATGCAAACTCTTTGTTTACCCATTCACAAATGACTCACCACGTAATAAGCTTACACAATGCATATTAAAAATGTAGTTTTAAATATACTGATACCTATCCTATCACATTTTTTATTTTACACACTGAAGATAAATAAAAAAGCTGTGTCAAGCAAATCAATTAGTGCCATTTTGAGAGAACAACTTACTTCATATATATTACATTTCAATAACATGCATAATAGTTCAAACCTCTTCATAACTGTTAGATAGGATTAGGCCTATTGATTACTTAATGTCTTAAATATTCTGTGACTGTATAAAGACAAATCAAAAATTAAACTAACTTAAGCAAAAACAATAAAAATAAAAAGAGAAAAAATGTTATGCATAACTACTGAACGTACATCCTTTATAGATTTTTTTCACATAATAGGCAAAGGCGTTCATTTATCAGAATACACTCTAGGGGTTTTATTTTATTTGCTAATAGTTATTTTTATTTTTGAACAGGCCTTTCCTTTAGCTGCTTAACTTCCCACCTAAGTTTTCCTACCAGAATGAGTTTTCAGTATTATGCTTTATGCAAATAGGTAGAAACTAGTACTGAAGCTGGGGTCTGAGCTACTTCAGTAGGAGAGCGTGTTCTGCCTTTTGGTCGTGCTGCTATAATTACAAGTAATTTATCCATATTTACACGAAAGAAATCTCCTTGTGTGTCATATAACCAGTTCAAACTACGGTTATCACACGATTATTGGTTTGAAATCATTACTTTCTGTGCAGTTATATAATATCAATTTCTCTGCAGTTATATAATATATATTAGTATGGAGTTATATAATATGAAGTTATAGCTCAGTTATAGCTCATATTATCCAATGATAATCGTATAATGAAAAATCGAGATGGTCAGTCGGTTTAATAATTCTTTGGTTTTGCAAACTATGTTGAAATTATTTCTTTTTCCCTCCGATGGATTCATTTTTTCTTTTACTTTTTATCGTCTGTCGCCGACTAGGTCACGTGACTGGCGGCAGAGAAGGAATGTAATACTCTTTTAGTTAGCTGAGGGCGACGCCTTGAAATGATCTGATCTTGGCCGCTAGCGGTAATTTTCTGATAAACGAATATTGGCCCTTATGGGGAAAATTTATAATATATGTATGATTGTGCTTTAAATAATGTACATAAGCTTCATTAAATGTTTTGTTTTTATATAAAAAAATTAGAATCGTGAATTCGTGAGCAATAACGTGACAATTTTTATACACATGTTTTTGGTGCCCGAAATTCCCGGACCTTTAGATACTTTAAAATCGAAACTGAATATAGTTGAATATAGTTCTATGCTGGAATAATGGAAGGATACCTGAAAATATCAGGTAAGCCATTTCTTTCATTCTTGAAGTATTCAACCTTGAAAAATAATGATTGAGTTGAATAAAAGTATTGAATATTTATGTTGTTTATTGAAATATTACTTGAAAGAATAATACTTCATTGATGCTTGAAAAATAATTGGTCTTAATCGAAGGAAATTTGTGGACTATAATATTGTTTTTAAAGGAAGTGCTTAAATATTGAAATACTGTACTTTAATTTTTGTTACAATTATTGTTGAATTTTATAAGGTTATATTCCATTACTTGAAATATGGAAAATATAGACAAATTAAAGTCGAAAAGAGCTGCTATCAGATCTGCAATCACTAAACAAATAAAGCAGAAGATTTGCTGGTAGCAGCGATTGAACGAACTGAGACACAGAATTCCTTGTTTAGAGTGTCAGGATATTTTGTCAGAAAAAGAAAATTCTTTAAATGAAATTGATAAAGAGATAGATAAACTGATTGAAGATAAATCTGAATATGAAAATAGAAATTAAAATTAGTTGAAGAATACTCTCATAAAATTATTGAGTATGAAATCCAAAAGTAAGAATAGGTTAAGAAAATGTAAAGCAGATACTGAAGTTAACGTAATTCAAAATGTACCTGTAACTCCTGTAATCGAAAGTAAATTTGTTGCGGCAGTTAAGTTGCAATAAATATGTTGCTGAAGTTAAGTTCCCGGAATTAAATATTGAAAAGTTCTCTGGTGATCCCAGCACTTATTTAGAATTTATTAACTGTTTCAAGAATGCTGTGGGATAACAATGATCTTTGTAAAAATAAGTAAATTTCAATACCTGAAATCTCTTTTGACAGGCACTACTGCATATAATGTTGTATCAGGGACAGTGTTTGATCTCCCATTCTGATGGCCCGATTGACAAAATTATGATGAATGCCTAAAATTGTTAAACGAAAGATATGGTAGGCGTGATACAATCATAAACTGTCATATAAATAAAATTTTGAACTTAGAGCCAGTAAAATCATCAAATAATATAAGGGGACTTAGAAATCTGTATGATAAATGTGAAATACATATCAGAAATCTCAAGTCAATGGGGGTAACAACAGGTTCATACGGGCATCTACTTTTGCCTATACTGTTAAAATTGTTACCAGAAAACATGGTTCTAGAATTTCATAAGAAAAATAATACAGAAAATGAGTATAAGGTCAATGACCTATTGGAATTTATAAGAGAAGATTTACGTGCCCGTGAGGCCACATTATTAGTAAATAATTCTTCTAGTAATAAAATACATGACACTTACACTAATTTTAATTCCAAACAAAAATATAATCAGAACTTTTCTTCTAAGAAAAGTGTTCCTTCGGCTGCTGCCTTGAACACTTCTATAAAAAATATTTTGTGTATTTTGTGACTCTTCGGATCATACAAGCTTGGGTTGTAAAAGGTATACAGACCAAGAGAAACGTTTTAAATTGAAGAAGGGAGGACGCTGTTACAAGTGTTTCTTAAAATCACACCTGTCTTCTAACTGTAAAAGTAAATTAACCCCATGTTCGAAATGTGGTAATAAATTTCACAATGAGCTGTTCTGTAATAAATCAGAAAAACATGAAAGTCCTGAAAATATTAACGCAGATAAATCCACAACCTTAGTATCTTGCGTTTCTGAACAGAAAAATAAAACTATTTCTACATTACTCCAAACTTGTATTGTATGTGTCTCTGGTGGTGAAAACAGAATCCATGCAAGGGTTTTGTGTGATAGTGGTTCAGAAAAATGCTTTATAAAAGAAAATTTAGTAAGAAAACTGAATTTAAAGCCTATTAGAAAAGAAAATTTATTAGTATATTCATTTGGCGGACGAAAACCACAAGAATCATCATTTGACGTAGTTTCTCTTGAATTACAAAATGTTTCGCAAACAAGCAATTCCATAAATATTGAAGCCTTGGTAGTTGAAAAAATAACTGGCGCTACAGTCAAAATTCCAGACAAAGGTTTGATTCAACGCTTGAAAATGAGAGGATTTAATCCTGCTGATACAGGGCATGAACGGGAAATAACTATTTTACTAGGGTCAGACTTTTTATGGCAAATTCAATTAGGTATTGTAGGAAAAATTGGAAAAGCATTTATACATTGCAGAAACTATTTTCGGACATACTATTCAGGGGCAGATAGAATCAAAAAGATAGAAAAATAAATTGTTGTAGTGTATCAGTTGAGAGTGAAAATGATGAACTGAAGAATTGAAGAAATTTTGGGATTTAGAAGTCATGGGTATTGTTGAGAATAACGAAAAGAATTCTAGTGATTTAGAAATCATAAATGACTTTCAAAATAATTTGAAATTTAAAAATGGTCGTTATGAGGCAAAGTTACTATGGAGCAAATCTCGCGATTTATTGAGAAATAATCTTGAAGTGGCTAAAAGAAGATTTGCTAGTCTAGAAAATAAATTTAAGTGTAATGAAATGTTATTTGAAGAATACAACAATATTCTCAGGGAACAAGAACATTTAGGAATTGTAGAAGTATGCCCTGAAAACAGCTCGACACTTAATTCTTATTATATGCCTCACCATCCTGTAATTAGAGACGACAAAACAACAACAAAGGTACGCATCGTTTACGATGCTTCTTCAAAATCAAATGATGCTCTTTCTCTCAATGATTGTCTTCACCCAGGGCCAAATCTAAATCCAAATGTTTTGGACGTTATTTTGAAATTCCGCGAAAATAGGATCGCCTTTTCGGCAGATATCGAAAAGGCATTCCTTCAAATATCAATCGCAGAAGAAGACAGAGATTATCTGAGATTTCTTTATTTTAAAAACCTTGATAGAAAAGAGAGTGTAATTTCTTACAAAATGACAAGAGCAACCTTTGTGTAACTTGTAATCGTTTCATCCTTGCCTGCACAATAAATATATCACACTGATAAGTACAAGAATTCTAACTTTAAGACTTGTAAAATGCTTAAATCAAATCTTTACGCGGATGACCTATTTTCTGGAGCGACAACTGTTGAAGAAGCGCTTAATCTATCAAATGAATCTGTTAAAATTCTTGCTGAAGGAGGTCTAAATCTAAGAAAATTCGAAACCAATTCCCTAGAGCTTAAGCAGAAATGGCTTGAGGAAAAGTTAATCTCTCTCAATAGTGACACTCCATGTACATCCTTAAAAGTACTAGGTTTAATATGGAACAATGATGAAGATGTCTTAGGACTAGAATTAACACCCTTACTGTCCTCTATAAACACTGACTGTACCAAACGTAATGTATTAAAAATAGCAGCCAAAATTTTTGACCCATCTGGATTTATCGCACCCTTTGTAATTCGAATTAAATGTTTTATTGCAACAGCTATGGCTTCAAAGGGTAGCTTGGGATGAGGTTTTTTTCTGAAGAACTTGAAAATGACTGGAAAATATGGCTCTCTGAAATAAAAGAACTTAAAATGTTGAAAATTCCCAGATATTATTTTCATGTACCAAATTTAGACAGGGACACTGTTCAGTTACACATTTTTAGTGACGCTAATCCGAATGCGTATGGCTCAGTCGCATAC